AATCTTCACCAGTGACACATCTGACAGAGGTTTAACATCCAGAATATATAAAGAACCCAAAAAACAAAGAATCAAGAAACCAAATGATCCAATTAACAGATCGGCTAAAGATCTAAGGAGAGAGTTCTCAAAGGAAGAAATAAAGATAGCTAAGAAACATCTCAAAAGTGTTTAACATTGTTAGTAATTAGGGAAATGCAAATTAAAACCACCCTAAGGTATCACCTTACCCCATTCAGACTGGCTAGGATCAAGAGAACAAATGATACCAAATGCTGGTGAGGATGTGGAGAAAGGGGAATGCTCATTCTGTTCTTTTCTTAGAGACAAGAGTTAAGCAATATTGGAGTCTTTTAGATAGACCTAGTGAAGGGGTACTCCAATTGCATCACCTTGCATCCCTGTTCAGCATGGAAGAAGCCAGAGCATCTGCATCCCTATTTCCTATTGGCAATTTGGGTACACGTTCAGAGGATGGTGTGATAAGAATAGGAAGTAGGAATTGGCTAGGCAGTTAGGGTAAAAAGACCCCAAAGAAGTGTAGCCAGTTTCTTGGCTAAAAATCAAAATGTCCTTGGGCCTGTTAGCAACATACTCTGTTCCAAAGGCCAAAAACATCAAAAGTATTTGGGAGCCTGTATTTAATCCTTAAAAGATTTTAGGGTTACCTCTTCCAAGGGGGGAATCTTGGAGGGGGGGAGTGGGCATTGATTTGATCAAAACACCATATATATATACATATATATATATGAAATTCTTAATACAGTTTTTGTAAAAAAAAATTTTACAAAAAGATGCACCACAGACATGGCCACAGTCCAGTTCAATGGAGGCAATTCTCCAATTGAGGCTCCCTCAACCCAGGTGTGCCAAGTTGACACTAAAGCTATCCAGCACAGAGCTCTTCCATGGAGTGAAGCTGGTGAGAGGCTATGTGATGGTCATAAAAATAGCAATTACCTTTTTCAGCTCCTCATAGCTCAGTAGTAGAATGTTGTCCTTTTCTCTCATGGACATCCAGCCACGGGTGTGTTCAAACCAGGATCCATATGGCACTGTGTAGGGTAAGTCAGAAAATGTGGATTACAATATATGGAAGAAGGGCTCTGCTGCGTATGCCTCAATTTTCTCCAACCCAGACACATTTACTAATAAAGCTAGCATGTATTATGTTTTTCAACATGATGTTTTGAAATATTCTCTCTCTCTCTCTCTCTCTCTCTCTCTCTCTCCTCGCTCTCACACACACACACACATGTATCGTGAGGTGGTAAAATCAAATTCATTAATATACTAATCACCTCACAGATTTGCTAGTTATGCCATAGAGAGGCATTCTCCAGGAAAAGTGTGATGCATACAAAAAGCCACAACTGGTCAAGGTTGTAGAGAATAAGAGACTGCAGAGTGTGTTTTCCTGGATAGGGCTTCTATATTAAACTTCAACCATCCATGGCTCAGGGACCACTGTGGAAGAAGGGGAGGATAGACTGTAAAAGCCAGGGCTGGTACATGAGCATAAGGAAACAAAGGCTTTCAGGACTCTGGGAACTTGCTCATATGAATTTGCATCAATGGTGACAGCATGCACAAGACTCATGCAAGCTCAATCAGTCAATAACCCAGCATAGAACTGGGGAAATAGGCAGCAGGCCCCAACCTTAGCCAAGGAACTATTGGCAACTGATAACTGTGCAGTGAGGGAGAGTAGACCTTCTTTAATGGAGTGACACTAGATAGGTTGACTAGACTCCACTGGATGAACTTGCAACAAGGGACAACTTGGTACAGAAGCTTGACCAAATAGGCCTTAGGATATATGATAGAATCCATGAAATCCAGGGGGCCTATGGGGGGCTGCTGATGGGGGAGAGGGTTTAACATGATTAAGATTTATTGTAGGAAATGCACAAAAAATCAATTAAAATATTCACTTAAAAAAGAAGGAATGGGTGAAAAAAATCCTTCCCATAAGAAATAAAATAAACCTTCATATAAAAGGATAAGGAAAGCTGCAAGACAGAAGTACTAAATCACATATAAGAGAAGGTCCATCATAATAACACATGACTTTTCAGTAGAGACTTGAAAGCCAGAATGCATGGAGTGATGTTCTACAAGTTCTTAAAGAGCACAGATGACATCCTGGGCTATTATACCGAGGAAACCTATTAGATATAATGGAAGGATTTAAAAGATTCCATGAAAAAAAAACAGATTTCAGGAATTTATGATCAGCACACCAACTTTGCCGAGGATATTAAAAAGGAAGTTAAACAAACCTGAGAGTGAATAATGAAAAAATAAAATAATCCCAGAAAAGTTCATCGAATGAAAACAATCAACAAATAACAGGAACTACTACACATTGTTCAAGAACTACCCCAACTCCTAAATAATAAGACACAGACTAACAGATTGGATTAGAAAATAGGATCCATCATTTTGTGGCCTCCATGAAAAACATTTCACCATCAAAGATAGATATCACCTTAGGGTAAAAGGATGGAAAAGTGTAGCATAAGAAAATGGAACTAAGAAATAGAAGTTTAGCTATTCTCCTATATGACAAATAGACTTCAAACAAAAACTAATCAAAAACAATAAAGAATACACTTCAAACTTATTAAAGGGAAAATTCACCAGGAGGATATTAGAATTCTAGACATTTGTGTAACAAACACATGGATACCCAACTTTATAAGACAATTAGAAATAAAAGTACAGACTGACCCCAACACAGTGATAATGGATAAATGCTAATCCCATTCATTCACAAAAACTAAACAGAAAATCATGGACAAATGACACCCTAAACCAAATTGATGTAATAGAAATCTACAAGATATAGGTGTAGGAAAGGATTTTCTAAACCAGACATCGACCGCTCAGGAAACAAGGTCAAGAATCAACAAATGAGACCTCATTAAACTAAAAAGCTGTACATCAAAGGAGACAACCAGGGAAGTGAAGAGAAAACCCACAGAATGGGAGAAAATCTTCACCAGCAGCACGTCTGACAGAGTTTTAACATCCAGAATATATAATGAACCCAAAAAACAGAGAATCAGGACAAGAAGAACTCCAACAAAAAGATGGGCTAAGGAGCTGAACAGAGAGTTCTCAAATGAAGGAGTAAAGATGGCTAAGGGGCATCTTAAAAGATGTTCAACATCACTAGTAATTAAGGAAATGCAAATTAAAACCACTTTAAGATTTCATCTTGCCACAGTCAGACTGGCTAAGATCAAGAGAACAAATGATACCAAATGTTGGAGAGGATGTGGAGAAGGGGGACACTCATCCACTGCTGGAGGGACTGCAAACTTGTTCAACCCCTATGGAAAGCAGTATGGAGAACTCTTAAAAAACTACAAACGAACCTACCATTTGATCCAGTTATACTACTCCTTGGCATATACCCAAAAAACTCATGCTATTGCAGACACACATGTACATCCATGTTTGTTGCTGCTCTTTTCACAATAGCTAAAGATGGAAACAGCCTAAATGTCACTCAACTG